AATTCTGAATAACGTAATCCTCCATCCTAATATAGGCATCTGGAGGCCCAAATTTGGAACTGGGAATTTGTTTTATTATCTATTTCATATTTTGTAAAGCATTTATGAGTTTTTGATTAAGAAACCCAACGATTTCAAAGCGAGCAATGGCAACATTGTACGGGAAAAAAAAAAAAAAAAAAACATTTCATCTTTCACTCTAGCGCGCGAGACTATGTATCGGAAATTCTAAAGATATGCTTTTTTTTAAATTATATGATATTGCTGTTGAATTGAATTTTATGGTTTAAGTGCGAAAAACATGATATTTAATAAATAAAGGTAACACGCAAAACGTTAAAAAATGGCCCTTTGGGAGTAATATAAAATCTGAAGGCTTTTTTTTTTTTTTTTTTTTTTTTTTTTGTGTGTGTGTGTGGTGTGTGTAATTTTATTATTTTTTTAAAACTGGTTTCTAAACAAGGACTTTCTAAGGGAAACACGTTACACATGGGGAAAGCCACGAAAACGTCGGCCAGCTCGTTCGCGGGATCCGAACCTCGGACCAAACTACCTGCGTTCAGCGATTCTACCGCTCGGCTACTGGTGAGCTTGTTAGCAGAATTATTTATTGCTTTATTATGCTATAAAGTAACAATGCTATAAGACTGAGGTTTTGTTCATAGAATAGTACTTTTGTAACCTGTTATAGTATTGAAAAATCATTGTTTCTCTGCAAACTTAAAAAAACAATAAACAAAGCAAAACAAAAAATACTGTTCATAGCATTCTCATTATTATATTGTAAAATAGATATTGATTATTATTAGTTTTCTATTTAAAATGTGTCGAAACGCTGGTTTGACTAGGACTTCAACTGCAGGAGACCTACACTGATTATTTTTACTTTAGTATTTGCATTGTGAAAATATTACTATCTTTTAATTATTTACACAGAATAAAATCCCTTGAGAAGGAAGAATATTTAAACTAAGCAGTTCTTATGTATATAAAAAATTAAAATAACAACAATGCAATTAAAAAAAAAAAGGTATTAGTAATTGTGTGACAAAAATTGCGAAAGGAATTAATCACACATACAGGATAGATTAGTTTAATTTTGGTTATATATTTTATATTGAAAAAATATTTTCTTTCATGTTAATTATAGAATAAATTATTTAAAATAAAGCATTTTGATGCGTGTGTGATAGTTGAATGCAGCAGCAATCGGCCATACTGTAATAGCGAATGAATTTTATTTCTTTTCCTGAAAGAAATAATTTTCATAGAAAAATAAAAATAAAAAAAGGGAAGAAATATTAAGAAAGAAATATTTTCTTTCTAATTTCTTATTTAAAGAAATATTTTTCCAATAGTAACTGTAAAATAAATTGCGGGAAAACAGTTTTAATGTAAGCATGAAAAAAAAAAAAAAAAAAAAAATTAGTTTGCTATTAGATTGTAATGCAAATTAATCATATTATAAATTTAAATGATTAAAATTGTTTATTTCTAAAAGGATTTAAAGTAAGCTTAATTCATTTATTCTTATCTTAACCATTGCTTTCGTGGTATCCCATATCACTCTTTATTTCTTAGCTCTAAATTCAGTCCCCTTAAAAAACGGGATTTTCCTTCACATAACACAGCAGCATTCTGTTGCCTGTTGGTCATAATACTGTTTTGTGCCAATTTTTTTTCGAACCACAAATGCAGCGTGTGGGTTTGTGAAATAATGAAAGAATATTCCTAGAACTTCAGCCAGCGCGCGCTATACAGTTCGTCACTCGTCTGTACTGCGATTGGTCTAGAGCTCCTTGAAGCCTTGTCCCCTTTCAGTAAAGTCAAATGGACCCACCCGCCCATCAACTGAGGACCACAGAATGGCTTTCTCCAATAAGTAGTGATGGCTGTCCATACCGGTTTTTTGAGTCAATATTGTTCGCTCAAGTTGTAGACAGATCCAGTGATCATAGAATAGCCGTCCTGTTAACAGTAATAGAACTGGAATAGTTCGCGAGAATGGAGGAACGTAAGCTTGATAAATTTATTTTCACTTGGATTATTGAAAACGCAAGCATGTGTCATCATTCTAATAGAGAAATACTGAAGAGTCGCAGTTTTACTTTACCTTCTTTACCCAGTATGACATGGCGTATATATCTACATCCGCGTAGAAAAACGGATACAAATTATGTAGCAATTTACCTCATGAGAACTGATGATTTTCTAGAAACTTCCAGAGTAAAATTTGATTTTCAGTTCTTGGATTCCGATGGAAAGTTGATTTACAGTAGTGAAGAAGATGTAAGTGAATTTACACACGATACTGGTTGGGGATACGCTAAAGCTTTTAAAACGAAGACTCTTTTCCGTTCCCTCATAAATGATATTCTCATTATTAAATGTAACGTGGAGGCAGTACTTAAGGCAAACAAGGAAGAGACACTTCTTTCACTTCCGTACAGAAATGCATCTTTCACGGACGTCGTATGTACTGGTGGTGCTGTTTACAAAGTGCATAAAGCTATTTTATCGGTGAGGTGGCCCAAATTGGTAGAAAAATTGGACGCTCAAGATGCGTCCCAACTAGTCATGAGTATTACGCCAGACGTTCTAGAGGCCATGATCGAGTATGTTTATACGGGAAAACTGGATTGCAGTAAACCCGAGATGTTAGTCAAATTGTATGATGCTGCAGCAAAACACGAACTGAGTTTACAATGCATGCCTGTAGTAGTACAGAAAGTGCGAACCCGCTTGAATGTACAGCAAATATCGTTTGAGTGGCCGATCGAAAATTTCTCCCGCCTACCTGTTGAGACAGTATTATACAGTCAAGTATTTTCTGTTCGTATGAATGAAGATGCTCCCTATAGATGGACTTTGATCTTTCATAAACGTGATGTGGGTTTTGATATTTCCATTTGCAAGATACACGATGAAAGAGTAATTCCATTTTTCCTGAAAAGCAAAATATCGTTGTGTGGATCTCATTCTCAAGAAAATGAGCATAGGTTGAAAAACATTAATACTTGGAAATGTGCGGAATTTTTCGAAGATATTTCCACAGATCAGAGTGGTGATAAATTATTACTTAATTGCCAGTTTACGTTTTCTTATTGCCATTATATTAATGAAATGATGGAATTCTCATGCGCGTTTACATCATCTATTCATTGCCATGATTTTAGTATAAATATTCAAAATCTTTTCGAAACTGGAGCATTCTCAGATGTTGACATAAAAGTTGGTTCGAAAACGTTTTCTGCTCACAAATTTATTCTCTGTGCTCGATCACCTGTGTTTTCTAAAATGTTCGAAACCGAAATGATCGAATCGAAAGAGAACATTGTTGATATTTCAGATGCTGATCCTGATACAATCGACGAATTTTTATTTTTTCTATATTGCGGACACTTGAGAAAGCCTTTGGAAGAAACTTCGAAAAAATTATACGCTGTAGCTGATAAATACGATGTTCCTGCGCTTAGGAAAAGGTGCTCGTCTTTCTTCAAGTCGAATCTTGATTGCAAAAATATAAGCGAAATGCTTCGATTAGCTGATTTGTATTTGGATGATGATTTGTACGAGAGTGTGTTAGAATTTACCAATGCACACGCAGAAAGTCGTTTTCTTAAGTGATGAATGGAAAAAAACCGAGAAAGATGACTTGGTGGCAAAATTTTTGCAAGATGTAATACTGAGAAGGAAATAGGAAATTACTAAGTTAAAAGAATACTTTTTACAGTATTGATTATTGGATTATTTCGAATCTCAAATTTTCATGAAACTTATATAAATGTTATTATTTCCATTTTGGTAAGTTGTGGTGTAACATCCAAGTTGAACAAATCGTTTATTCTAATTTCATTCAGTTAATTTTAATTTTATTATATATGGTAATTAAATGTGTTTTCTGGTAAAAGTTTACAATTGGGTCCCCCTTGTTTTTTGGCTATTCTTTTTTGACGGCAAGATCGGCTCCAGGAAGGCACAATTTCAAGATGACCGTGACATAAAACCAAAATAAGAAGTCAAAGAATTGCACGAACTTTGTGTCCATGTACGCAACAATAAAAAAAAAACATCCTAGAATTGCACAAACTAGGCATTGCGTACTACCTTAAATTTGTCCAAGTACACATCAATCTATTTTCATTTAAATAAAATCAGGAAGATAAAACACAGTAAAAACTATCATGGTAACCAGACGTGAGGTTTCATAGCCAAAATTTTAAAAAAATTGTCGCTAATCGAAGGGGCACCCAATTCTACTACTAGAGCGGAGTTTTCGGGAAAAGTGCAGAATCGCCCACTGCTTGGCGCGTTTTTAAGAATTGCACTAGCTCGGTATCCATGTGCACATCGACCTATTTTCACTTAAGGGGAAGTCAAAGAAAATTGACAAAAATCCAATTCTTCTTACTCTTGTAAAAAGCGCCAAACAAATGAGTGGGCTATTCTGCACTTTAGCCAATATAATAATTTCTTCAGATTTAACATGACATTAACAATTTATACATAAATTTCGTTATGTATCCTTCTCCGAGTTCAGTTTACGTTCGTTCATTTCTTAAGAGTTCTGGATCACTTCATAATTTTGGATGCAATTATAACAAAGCAGTATCACTCAAAAATAAATAAATAAATAATAATAAAAAAAACTCTGAAGGGGTAAAATAGTAATAAAGGTTAATTAGTATTTAAATAAACTTTTTTTTTTTTTTTTTTTTTTTTTTTTGTTTAAAGTCTTTTAGCCAGATTGTCATGATGTAATTTGGAAAATGAAGTTTCAAAATCTGCAATCTCTCAATAATCAATAACCTTTATTATTATTATACAGTTTCTAAAACTGTATACCGAGTAATTTGTATAGAATGTGTTCTTTTCCTCTTATTGTTTACTTGTTATTAGATTATAGTATTTTAATTTTAGCTTAGGTTTAACATGCATGTATTTAATGTTTGGCTTAACATTTTTTGCTCCAACCGAGATAATTTCTTAAAAGTACAACAGAAAATAAAATCTACTACAATAAGTGCTTATAAGGTTAAATAAAGAAGTGGTTAACAAGAAACAGCGATGTTTAAAAATTAAAAACAGTTTTTAAAAAAAATTAAATTGAACATACCTTATTTTTAAGAAGTTATTAGTATTTATCACTACTTTAAATTTTCTTTAAAAATTCTTTATTATTTTTAATGGCATCAAGTTCCATGTTAATTTAACAGCTTTTAAGGTTGCTTCAGCCATTTTACTTTTTTCTTCAAACCATATACTATAAAGAATGCTGTATGTAATAGCACCGATGTGCCTGAGATTTTGCAAATGTGTTTTATTATTTTCACAAGATTGGGCTATGAGATATTTTTGTCGTTGAAATGACTGAAAAGTCGTAGCCATTTTTCGTCACTTCGTCACAATTATTAATTTTTTCAAATTTCGTAATTAGCTGACCAAAAGGCTTTTGCAATTACTATTTCAATAAAAATTGGTCCACGTTTATTACATTATTTCAAACAGTTTCATCACTTTTTGTTCACCTGAAGTGTCAGTTTTGGAGCACGTTGACTGTTCGTTGTTTTTCCAAATAAAAGATTCTGCTCCACCAAAAATTGTAAGAAAGACATCCGTCATAAAATGCTGTAAACGTTTTAGGATCGTATTGATATTAATAGTGTAGATTCGGCACTTTCAAAAAATTTTTCCGAATAACCAGAACACAGGGCCCAACTAGACCGGGACTCAAGGATCACACCTTGAAAGCGGGACACTGCCGCTCAAAGCAGGATGTCTGGCAAGCCTATTAATATTTCAACGTTTTAATGTATCTTAACTTTATATTCTTAAACACGAAAGTATGTAGGTTTTTCGTATTATTTACCTTATGGCCTCAAATTGGCGGATAGCATGCGGTCACCCAAGCAATCTTATGCGAAGACATTTCAATTATATTTTTTTTAAACGCGGTGTTGCAAAATTTTCAAGATTTGAGTTATTTGAAATCCTAGGTTTCATTACTTTCATTTTTACTGAAAGCAGACATGAATAATGCACCATAAAATTTATGAAAAGCTAATTAATTAACATTGTGATGTAAATCGTATTCAAAGATTTGAAGCTATATATTTTATTAACTTTCTTCGAACTTGCCAAGAAAATAAAAACTTAGTTATGAAGTTTTGCACTGAGAATAATCACTTTGCTTGCTTGGAAATACATTTATAGGTGAACAGGTACTTTTTCACAGTTGAAAATTGTTAAGAAAGAACCCGATTGATTTTTGAATATCTACGATGCATGATGATGGTAAATTCTAGTAATTTCTGTGCGCGGCAACAAACTTTATTAGAATCGAAACTCCATCAAGTGTCAAGCTGTAGTAAAAAATATAGATGTTTTCTAATTATTTACATATAAAAATATGTATTTCTATTTATGCATTGAAGAAAAATTTAGTAAATAAGGAGAAAGACACTAGGTTGTTATTGTTTCAAAATTTCGATTCCTGGTAGATTTTCTCATAAAACGTAGAAAGTTTTCATAATTTATTTATTTTAATTTAAATTAAAGTAAGTTACTTAAAGATTAATGAAACATGTAAGAATTATTTGAATGAAATATCAGTCTAAGAATAAGAATGTAGAATTTAGCTGTCAATATATTAGAATTGCAAAGTGTAATTGACAATAATGTTTTATAGGCAGTAAAAACTATAGATTTCGGCTAGTAAAAAAAAAATAATATGAATTTCTTTTCCTTTGCGCATCATTTACTTTACGATATTATTATTATTTTTGTTGTTTATGTATGCTTTGAAAAATATTTAGTAAGAAAAATTTAAAATATATTTTATTTTCTTAAAAACTTTTCATTTTATTAAAAAGAATTTTCTCCGGTCAACACTTTCCAGGCATTCGGCCCGAATGCACTCTGAGTTTGAGACCGCTGATTTAACTAATGTTGAGCAGGCTTTCATTTTCGCATCATTTAATATACGCCTAAATTCATAAGTTTAAAGAGAAATACAGCCGGATTGTTCTCCCTTGGAATTTCAGTTGGGGTGGAAACTTAGAAATTAGAAACGCCCGGTGATATTTAATACGCCTACATGAATGCACAGGGTTTTGGCCTTCCTTTCTTCAGCCTGTATTTCTATCTGTCTTAAATTATTAGCCACTTTGATCGGTGCAGACATTAGTGACACTTGCTGCCATACCAATGGGCCAGGTTCAGAGAATGTATGTTTGTTAATGTTTATTTTCTGTGCGGTATAAGGGGTCATTCAAAATAATAGTGAATTCTCTCGAACGGTTTGAGGCATTTACAGCCTCCATAGTTTGAAGGTAGGGGAGGAGCGTGGGCGACCCTTGGACCACCTGCCACTGATGAATTTTAATGTATGATGAAGAAACCTACGAATGTGTGTAAGAATTATGATTATAGAATGGGTAAAAACGCATACACGAAAAACATTTAAAGTACATCAAACTACCTTAAAACTGTTTCAGAGTAAGTAACAGGAATTTATTAAAATCAAAGTCTTGTCCGATTAGACAACTGAGAGTTGCAACAAAACTAATAAAATACTTCTCAGAAAGTGCGCGAAAACAAGGACATTCTATTAAAATGTTAGGCACTAAAAGAATAGACTTACACTTAACAACAAACAGGCTCACTCTAGGCTTTTAAAAGATAATTATGTGTAACTCGAGAGTGCATAATTCTGAGACGAATTTAAAGGACTTTCCGGTTTCCGGTTTCTATTAGCCACCCAGCATTTTATTCTTGGTTTAATATTTCTCAGCTTTTATGGAGCTTAACGCCTCAATGTCGCTGCTACTTATATAGGATGTTCTGCTTGATGGCAATGTCGATGTCTCTACTAGGAATGAGACGGCTGGACATTTCAACAGCAAGACTGCTATACTGTGTTATAGCTCATTACCTTTCATTCCTATTACCCCGGCAACTCATCAGCAAAAATTCTTAAATCCACTTCAGTTCTTCAACTTCAGAACTTCAACAACTACTCGATTCTGGGTGTCGGAAAATGTCTCTTAAGCTTTCAGTCCACTGAACGAGTCTGTATAACTAATAAACGTCCTGTGGCATAGCTTAGAAATGAAGAAAAACCGATCTATATAATTTCTCGTTAGTATTGATTACATTGAGGCGGTGAAAGTTATCAAAAAGCTGGATAAGCGCACCCTCCCAAGGTAGAATTTCAAAATGATGTCATACCCAGTTCTTCAAACAGTAGGTGAATCCTTAAACAGAAAGAAGGCACACAGGATGGTCGTGCTTCAAACAAATGTTGACACATATTATCAAGCAAAAGCAGCTTACATAAATAGACAGTTTGTGATAATATGCTGAAATAACGATGAAGAGACAACTGCTTACGCTGTCTTAGTTGTAGGGATGGTTCGTACCATCACTTCAATTGAGGTACTCCATCACTCAGTAAAAAATATCAAATAACTTCTTAGAAGTACGTTAAATGAATATCTAAAGCAGACTAATGCAAATTTATCTCTTTAAGTTACGCTGACTTAGGGAATTTTAATGGGATTATTATATCCAACGACG